ACACGTCACAGTGTAAATAATTACATAATGGTTACTGCACCTTCAATGTTGACCCCCAAAATATAACATCTTATAAAGTGCACCCATTGAAATTGACAATTTTGAATGTTCCTGTAATGAACGTCATCCATTGGCTGGTGTGGGTACTTCCCAATTTTCTGTTGTTGTTATATGTATATATATATCAAAAGGTAATAAATAGCTTTACAAATCTGCTTCACTGACTTATTAAAATGAAGTAAACAAAATCACATGAATATGCCTCAAAACTGAATGTTTTTCACAATGAAGAGTGACGATGCGTATTCTTCTTGACGATTCTCATATATTCTACGAAATCGTGATGAAAATATAAGCCTTCATCAGAGCTAGAACAATAAGAAAACAAATAATCTTCCTTAGCAAAACCTAATACAAGCGCAAGCTGCGGATAAATTCCTGTTTAGCACAAGTTTTGTGTACAACAAAATGTGGCGTTTTACAGGGAGAATATCCCGAGTAGAGTTTTAAAAAAATGTGTATCGAAAAGAATGTATCGATTTACACCAAGAGAGTTACAATTCTAAAGTGCTTTTAGTGATTCGCAGTGAAGTTTAAAGAGATTTCAGACTTATTCATTAAACTGTATTCATCTAGCAATCAATCTTGGAAGAAATACATGCAGTGTTAATATCTTATATTTCCAGTCCCATAGTTTTTTCCCTCGAGCATTCGTGTATCGATTCGAGAAAGGTCGTTGAACAATAAACCCCAGGTTGTTGACAGACCTGCAATTACTGTAACAGATGTGTTGAGCAACTTTATTCCTTGCCATGCTCTGATGTACAAGTAAACAGTTGAGCTGTGGAATTCCGATTAAAGTTAATACATACAGACTTCGAAGAAGAAGTGAAAGCAAAGGAATCATTAGTGTCACTACATCTATGTAGGTAATAATGGACAGATGCTGTTGAAATATGACAAAATAAAAATGTATTTCTCTGAGAGAAAATATCTTATCTTTTACAAACGAAGGCTCAAACCTACGAGAAATACCCTTCATGGATATGAAGAAAAACACACACTAAGCAACGAGATCGTGTGATATTCTCGCGTGGTAACTTTTCTTATTACGATATGTATTTTTTCGCCTCGACTTTGAACCCTGGATCAAAGGGTTAAACCTTTAGCGATTTATAGTAAGTTACGCTTTAACAATTCCAACTATTACATCTCTTTGTCAGTGGTATATATATATGTGTGCACGTTGTTTTTATATACATGCAAAGACACACACATATATAATATATATTTTACTCTCATTCACCATCTACTGATTGTCTAGTTAAGGCTATCATTTTACAAAACAATCCAAGATTCTGTAATTTCAGAATTAACTAAAGCTATGGCTTATAAGACAGCCCCCCCCCCAAGGCTCAGCGGTAAGCTTGTGAGCTTATAGCGCTAGTTTTCGGGTTTCGATACCATCAGTGGGCACAGTGCAGATAGCCTATCCTGTGATTTTTCTGCTGAAACACGAACAACCAAACGATGAGTTACAATGTTTGATGAATTCGTAAAGAATATAGCAAAACTCGAACAGACAGAAATGTAGACCTAAATACAGTCATTTCATCTTCATTTGCTACTAACACAGTTTTATATAGCCATTCGCTTTTAAAGTGAAATACGTAATGAACTGAAAACCTAAGTCAAAGTTAAGGTAATTCTGACGATTTTCCCAGTAGATATGTTATCAGCAAAAATAAGATAATTTATATATTCCGAACCAGAGATTTCATATATAATGCAAGCAAATATGCGAGATTTAGTTCTCTGTATCACCAGCACTTATAGTTTTGAGACAAGGCTTCACAGTTACTGATCAGAAGCTATTCTACCATTTATGTCTTTCTCTCCTCCCTCCCTCACCCTCCTTCCCCATAATAATACAAAAAAAAAAGTACAATGAAAGCATTCGCTCCTGGAGGACAATGACCCTTTGAGTCAACACATTGTAATGGTTGTTACTGTTGTTGCTAGGAGAAACTGAGTTTTCGATCGCGTTCCACAATCATACTATCCTTATTAGCTTGATGTTTCTATTTTTGTTAGCTTTTTCTTTGCATAACAAGATCTTTTATGGTTACGCTTCCCTTTTAGGCTATTATGTATTTGAGTTTTCAAAACCCATTAAATTGTTTTCCGCATTTTGAAAGCTTATCATAGTTACTGAGAAAAAATAATAATAATGTGATGGTAAAAAAAAAAATGCATTTTTGAGTGAACAACGCTTTATAAACATGCTGACTTACTTTTTACAAGAATTTCTTGCCAGTTTAATGCTAGAAACCAGGTTTCGATACCCGTGGTGGTTACAACACAGATAGCCCATTGTGCTTAACTACAAAAAAACCCAAAAAAAAACAAGAACAGTAGCACAGCGGTATGTCTGCGGACTTATAATGCTAGAAACCGGGTTTCGATAGTCGTTGTGGGCAGAGCACAGATAGCTCATTGTGTAGCTTTGCGCTTAACTACAAACAAACAAAAGAATACTAATTATTTTAAACATTACTTTTTATCTTTCAAAGAGATTAAAAGTAGGTGCAACTACATATTTAAAACGTTACTTTATTTGACTTTTCTACGTAGAAACTATGCAAAACAAAATGTATTATCTTATACTTT